AAGGGGTTAGGGAGGGATAGGCAGCTGGCGGTGACGGCGCCAGGTGAGAGATGGGAGAGAAATGAAATTGATTAGGATTTGGATTGAGTTTAATAGTTAAAATAAATTTGGTGGGGTAGGTAGTATGGTGGGTATATAGATTAATTTAATTTAAAATTTTATTATTAATATTAATTGTAAAATTAAAACCCGATTTTTTATTAAATAAAGCCAAAACCTGATTTTTAAAAAGGTCAAACTTAATACCTGGTTTTATGTAATTAGGCCTTCATTCTTTTGGTCCAGACTCGACTGATTGTGGGCTCATTTTGTTGGGTCCTAAAATTACTTATTTTGTTAAGGGCATTTTACACAAACATGAAAAAGTAGGGAGTTGGATTGAAATTTTTTTATTTTTGTTAAATATTTCGAAATTAAAATATAAACCTGTGCTTAATGAAAAATACTGTAATTATCATTTATGTAATTTTTTAACATGTACGTAATTTTTATTTTTTTTTGGATAATTAAAGTGTACGTAATTTCTTTACAATTCTTGTAATACATTTTGTCCATTCTATTACACTGTTTTAATGTTTTAAATTTTAACTTACAATTGTGTAATAATACATCTCATTTTGTTTGTGTAATTCATGCTACAAACTGTATAATAATCATATTACATCCTTATTTTTTAATTTGCCAATAATTAAATTTATATTGCACGTAATTTTTTTCCTACAGTTACAACAAACCCATATTGTAATGAAATCCAATATTATGAATAAACAGTCATGCCCCTGTTTGGTATAGCTAAAAATCAGATTTTTAATAAATTTTGATAAAAAATGATAAAACCTGTAATTGAAAAATCCCATGAAACGTGTTGTTGGCAATAAATTTGAGAAAATTATCCGTATTAAAAATCCACATTTTATATTGATAAATTTGAAGAAAAAGAGATTAATATGGAGTAAAAATCAAAGAAGATTGATGGCAGTAGAAATTAAAATTATACGTTATGAATAAAAATCACGTCGAGTCATAAACTACGTTAGAATAACATCAAGCCCGTATGTAACAAATAGCTATGTATCAATACATCAAAACAATGTTTTGCTTGTAGTCATATAAAGAACATTTGAACAAGGTATCGATTCAGATCCAAAATTCATACTCTTCCGAGGATTTGGTCGGTGCATGCAATTTTTTGAGGTTTTCGAGCATCACTTGTCATAGTCGGCACCCCCCCACCCCAACCCCCGCCGAGAGTATAGGAATTCTCCATCCATGATATAACCTTAGCTTGAACCTTGTTGTCACAATTGAAAAATATCCATACAGATCCCTTTCACCATGTGCTGTATGTCCAACACATTTTGTGATGTCAATCCAACTCCTCATTGGTCAACTAATTTTTTATCCTTTACAAATCTTTAAACAATGGCATTCCCAGCTATAAATAAAGATGCCAATTACTTTAAACTACCTTTTTATTTTAGTTGTTTTTAGTCTTCAGTCATCTGCCTCGGCTCCCAGGCACATCGAAGAATTTCTCGAGAACCGTGCACAATCCATTCCTTGTTTTTTTTCCTTTGATCAATAGTCAAAACTTTATCATATATTCTTAACTACTTCAGGTTATCCGAATATAAAGAAGGGGTTCGAATACTCCTGCATAATGAGTGGACTATACGAACTATATGCATCATTTTTCGTTCGGACACATTTGATATACAATATTAGACTAGACGCAATTGTGCAAAGAACAAGATTGTAACTTATTTTTCTTCTGTAATACTGTCCAATAGCATGCATGTTTATTACAAAATAACCCGTTATAGTCTTAATTATTATTGTTTATATAGAAGATTCCAGTTCCATGCCAGGCATATGAGTTCCATTTGAAGCTTTGACTCAGTTAATTATTCAGCTAACCAGATTTGTAGGGATACTGTGTTGATTAAGAATTTTAATAGTGTTTGACTAATATGCCGCCCAAGCAGTTTTAAATCCTGTATATTCAACCCTTCAGATGATTTATGATGATCAAGTGTAGAATTTATTAGGAGATTACATAAGATTGGTAAGCAGATGCACATGCATATGATTTTTTGTGAAATATTTCAATGGTAGATCCTACAATAATACACTGAAGGGAATGACTGTGATCACACGATTGGCTGATTTTTTCCACGTAATCAAAGAAGTTGACTTTTATTAATAAATTATTTACATTATTCTCTCATGCATGATGCATACTGCATAGTATATATATAGCAGCTTATCTGATGAGCAAAGGCAGAAAATATCCAACTATTATATCTCTGTCAATCATTTTCTTGTCATTATCTGTGGATCTTGAAATGAAATCTCTTCATTNATCCCACAATAATACACTGAAGGGAATGACTGTGATCACACGATTGGCTGATTTTCTTGTTTATTTGTCTTTTTCAATATTTCTTGCTGTCAGTTTTGCCATTTTCTTTACACATTATAGGAGTGGTAAGAATAAAACCAAGAAAGTTCCACCAGGGCAAATGGGAATTCCCTGGATTGGTGAAACAATAGATTTCTACAAAGCTCAAAGGAAGAACAGATTATTTGAGGATTTTGTTGAGCCCCGGATTCAAAAATACGGTAAAACATTCAAAACGAGGCTTATGGGCTCGCCTACGGTGGTGGTAAATGGAGCTGAAGCCAACAAGTTCTTCTTGTCTAATGAATTTAAGTTGGTGATAAGTTCATGGCCTACTTCATCTGTCCAGCTCATGGGAAAGGACTCTATAATGGAGAAACAGGGCGATGCACACCGGTGCCTTCGTGGGATTGTGGCTGCCAGCCTTAATTCTACTGGCCTAGATGCTCTGGTGCCTATAATTTGCAAAACAGTTGAAGCACACATGGAAAAATATTGGCACGGGCACGAAAAAGTTAGCCTGTTTCATCTGACAAAAGTTTTGACATTTACCATTGTACTCAAATGCTTGTTTGGAATTGAAGTGAAACCGGGCATGTTAGAAACATTCGAGAGGGTTTTAGAAGGCGTATTTGCTCTCCCTGTCAATTTTCCGGGCTCCAAATTTTCAAGTGCAAAGAGGGCAAGAGAAGAGATAAAAGAAATGTTGCGTGATGTTATAAGGAAAAACCGAGAGGAAATGGAAAACCAGATAGAAGACGAAGGAGAAGGAGAAGGAATTCTACTTTCTCGATTAGTGGCAGCACTTATTCGTGGTGAAATTACTGAGGCTGAGGTTATAGATAATGTGGTTTTGTTAGTTTTTGCAGCACATGATACTACTTCTTTTGCCATTGCCATGACATTCAGGATGTTGGGGCATCATCCCAATTGCTATTCTACTCTCCTTCAAGGTAATCGAATTCTTCATTTCCACTTATTCAGATTTACCGTTGTGATTATTATGGAAATTCATGTTCGTTCGATTTTCTTATAGAACATGATGATGTACTAAGAAGCAAAAGACCAAATGAAGTTCTTACATATGAAGACATGAACAAGATGAAGTATACCTGGCAAGTTGCTCGCGAGAGCATGAGGATTTTCCCTCCCATTTTCGGGTCCTTCAGAAAAGCAATCGACGATATAGCGTATGATGGCTACACAATTCCAAAAGGATGGAAGGTAAAAATTTAAATTGCAAGATAAATCAAGTAGATAAACTAAAAAGAAAGGCTATTCTTATTGCGGTTTGAATGCAGGTGCTTTGGACTACATACGGAACACATTATGACGAAGAGTATTTTCACGATCCTCTGGCTTTCAACCCAGGAAGATTTGATGAACCGGTTCAACCATATGCTTTTCTACCATTTGGTGGAGGACCAAGATTATGTGCTGGATACCAACTCGCCAAGTTAAATATCCTTATATTTGTACATTACGTAGTAACTCGATACGATTGGTCTTTAATATCTCCTGAAGAGCCAATTACCATAGATCCACTTCCATTTCCTTCTCAAGGAATGCCCATAAAAATATCTCCCAAGTTAGCATGAAGCCACTAGTTCATCGGATTGTACGCTCTTACTAATTGCTTGAATTTAGCCCATTAATTCTATGATACCATTTCTCACTAAATAAGAGACAAACTGTTGAATGTATATTCTGCTGATTTACTGTCTTCTGCTCGGAAAAAAAACAGTTTTATATACATTTTTCTCAACAGAACTCGAAAAAGTACGTACAAACAGCAAGTCCTAAAGAATTAATAGCAAATATGAAACAAATATTTCAGAATAATGAGCGATCCGCAAAATTCCCAGTGAATTTGTACTCAAATACCTTTTCTTGAGTTCTCTCTGTGCTGGGAATGCTTTGGCTTTGCAAAATGTTTTTCGAGACGGCCATTTTTTATGCAATCAACATGGTATGCATGCCCACACAGAAGACTTCCCACTTTCTCATTTTCTTCGCATTACACAAATTTATGGACCTTCATGGACAGCATTTTCCAATTTGGTGGTAACAAACTTTCTTGTTTTCAAGTTGCTGTCGAATTGTTTCTTCTGAGAAACCAGTTTGGCTACCCAAAGATCACCTGAAGAGGTCTTCATCATCTGAATGTAGAATGGAAATCCTCAAGTAAGGTCCATGCGGATCATCCATGTTTTTCCAATTTTTCTAATCGCTTTAGTATTTTCTAAGTGGGGTACATTTGTAGTTTTTGAAAAGTTGTGGGACTTCTTTGCAATTTTTCCTTTTTTGTTTGGTCACATTGATTTTTGGATCACCACGTATAGGTTAACACATTGATTTACACTCATGTGAGTTAATAGATTTTGGTACATTGATCTTAAAACACATTTTCCAATCAACTGTTAGATGAAAGACGTCGTGAATTTCAATTAAGTGAAAAGTTGGAGATGTCTGATATTAAAAAAGATCAAGGGTAGATTAGTAATAAATTATAAAGATTGAAGATGAAGACTGCAATTTTCTCAAGTTAAAAACCCAAATTTAATTTTATTCGTATCCATTTCCCTGTCTGATGCGCATCTACCAATCGAGTTAAATGTTTCATTAGCCACCGAATTTTACATTATGTCACGACTTACTCACCAAACTTTACTAATTGTCTCGGTGGCCACTGAACTTCACCCCGTCCAACTCCATCACCCACCCCGTTTGAAACCGTTAACAGACGATCTACTTGGCTAACGGAAATACGACTTGACCGGTTAAATCATTCCAAATCAGTTAACACTTGCCAACTCATTGCCAACTAAGCAAATCCAAACACACTATTATGAAACATTTAACTTATTTTCCCAAAATTTCAGCCAGACCCATCACGTGAGCATAGAATCATTTCCCCAAATCCATCTCCCTCAAGAACCCTAAACCCCCAAAAAAATCAAATCGGTGAGATTTTGGGAACTTCGACTTCGAGAAAGACGTTTGAGAGTGCACATGGACGGTAATATTGAAGGTAAATTCGAGTTTTTTGGTTTGAGTGCTCTATTTTAAAATGCAAGAGGCTGGAACATTCTGCCTGCATTTGATTTTACAAATTGATTATGATAGTTCCGTGTCTTAACTGATTGAAGCTGCTTAAGCTGAAGAAAACTATGTAGTATTTTATACTTCCCTTAAAGTCTCAATATGTTAACCTAAACCTCGTTATAAATTTATTTTTTCTGTCGTAAGAGTTCATTGTGTATTAGTAGGTTCAGTTTTTAGACACTTCCTTACCATATCTTTATCTTAAAATTAGTAGGACTTGAGAGGTCATAAGAGTTCATTGTGAGGACTTCTCAGCTGGGTATCATATTTAGCTTTTTCTTCGGTTTGCTTCTTCAATGTCTCGAACTTGATGATTTTTTATTTGTGGAAATATGTACCCTTCATATTAAATTAATGTTTGTAATGGTTATTTTGTTATCCATATTTCACCACTTGAAAGAATTAAAAATACATTTAACATACATGACAATTAGTATTTCTCAGACATGCCAGGAATGATCCGCTTAAAAAATGAGAGTTTGATCATGGCTTATTTTAGCTCGACTTAGTGACTAAACTATACTTGAATTCTTTAATATTGGCTTGTATATCTCCACATTTTACTCCCATTACCATGTTGAGAAATCTTAACTGATTCCTATTGTATGACAGATTATGATGAAGATCCGGACTTCGTAGAATCCGACCACAACTTTGAGTCCGACGACGATGACATCCAATATGATAGAAACATAACCGATGGGATTGAAATTGGATCGGGCGGCCATGACAATGAAGTTCAGGAAGAACGAGAAGAAGGCAACGAGAACGAGTTGGATGAATTAGACCTACCGTCGTCAGAGGATCTACTCTCCCAATGTTCATCAGATGAGGATGGCAGTAATGTCTTTCCTCAATTCACTTTTGGTGAGGACATGATAAATCCTCAGTTCGAAGTTGGACAAATATTCAGTTCTGCAGCAGAGTTTCAGGAGGCAGTGCGAACGTACGGTGCATTGAATGGGTACAATGTAAAATGTAAGGCAAATGAGGAAAGAAGAGTGCAAGGAATTTGTAAATTGGGTTGCAAATGGAGAATATGGGCTTCTAAATTTGATGGATCCGAGAGGTTGCAAGTAAAATCTTACACTTCGGAGCATACATGTAGCCGGGATCGATTTAACAGACATTGTAATTACATTTTCTTGACACGTCGATATATTGAGCAATTCAAAGCGGATCCGGACTGGAAGACTGAGTTAATTTTGGCAACAGTAAAGAAGGATCTCCATACAGATATTAGCAGAAATGTAGCATGGAAGATGCAGAGATATGCAAGAGAACTTTTAGTAGGGACCTTGCAAGAGCAGTTTAGGCGATTGAGATCTTATGCAGCCGAGGTACTCCGTACAAATGTTGGCTCGACAGTCATCATTGCATTACAGGATCAGATATTCGGATGAATCGGAGAAAAGGAGCAGATGAAGATGTGGTAGTGAATTCACAAGGGAAGACCTATATTCGGAGAAAGGGGCGGTCAACGATGACATGCACATTATGCAGACAGCCGGGTCACAACAAGCGCTACCACTCTAGGCCGGATGCACCGGATTCTGTGAGTAGCATCTTGCTTTCATTGATGTCATAAATCGATGCATATAATATAACTTTATTTTTTTTTCGACAGGAATGGTTTGAAGGAAATTTAGAAGCAGTTGGCACACATCGCGATAGAGCGGTGGACGAACGAGTTAGTAAATGTTTGATTGAGTTTTGTAATCGTTCAATGTTTATTTTTGTTTTTTATACTTTGTATAATATGAAAATGATCTGATTATTGTGCAGGGTAAATTGGTACCAGACAGGGGAAATTATCAAGCATCTAAGGATCAAAACCCCGGGAACGAAGAAATTTTAACTTCATTCCAACCTCGATGGTTTCCTGTGAAGCGCAATCCAGTAAAATAACACCTGGTCTAGCAGTAACAATGGCCATGCAGTCAGTTCTATTGGATGTTCCAAAAGATGCAGTGAACTTTGACGATGTTGTGGACGACTTGAATGACATGAAGGATGCGAAATCTGCCTGCGTAAGAGATTCGAGGGCAGGAAAACGACGTCGAGCAACCAACTAAATGTTTTTGCCTTCTAGTTTTTTGGTTTTTGTTGCAACCAACTAGCTGTTGACGAAACACTGGTTTTTTGGCTTTTGAAATCTTCTTTTGTCCAGTGTAAAGGAATTAGGCATGTACATTGTAAACATATTGTTCCAAATGACAACTTTGGTATATATTTTGTCCATAATTCTACGATGTTAATCTTGAGGAATTGTATGGTATTAATCTACTTTCATATGAATGTCTCGAGTTTCTTGAAAATGTGAAGGCTATCCATGAATGAAAAACGAAAAATCAGATGAATCTGGTGAACCTGATAATGGAAAATGAAAAATTGCAGGTGAATGTGGTGAACCTGTTATGAACCTGGTTTGTTGCTGAATTTGTATTTTTCCTGTAATTAAGTGGAATATGTTGTAGAATTCACACTTTGTTCTTCCCCTAATTTTTACTACATGTCCAGAGATACATTGCCAGATCTCTGTTTTCACAATGTCAACACCACAGGTTCAGAGATTCATTACCAATAAATTACAAACATTAATTCCAAATCCATGAGATGAACAATGAATAACAATACAAATATATTAAAAGTGCACTGTTACAATCTCACAAACTTATCAATTTGATACAATCTCACAAACTTATAAATTTGATACAATAACAATGCTTCTACTGCCTCTTTTCAACAAGACAAAAATGAGTACAAAAAAATCCCATCGCTTCAGCCCCAATCCAAGCAAACAGAGCCAAAACTCACTTCTTCACTAACAAAACTTTTCCCCTTAGACAAACCTCATTCACTAGACCACAAAGAAAAATAAACATTTCAGCCAGCAGCGTCCCAAATCACTAGGCAATGCCTGCATCCCCCTCAGAAAACCCAATTCACTGGGCAATGCTTCTACTGTTCTTCTTGAGCCGGCAGCGTCCCAAATCTTTTTTGATCATTCTCAGCCAAATGTTCACAATCAAGCTCCATCCCCACCTCGCTGTCAGGATTATCGTTCTCGTCCTCCTCACCATCGTCTTCAAATTCCACATGTCTAAGAGGATGATTGCGAAACCCATGGACTTCGAGTGCGATTCGGAAGAAATAGATTTGAACCCTTATACCCTTTTTGCGTGCGATTTACAGAGGAAAACTGGAGTTCTTGAGAGATTTGCTCCGAAATCTGAATCCGGGAAAATGGAATTTAGATTAAGGGTTCGATTTAGGGATTGGAGATGGATTTCGGGAAATGATTCTATGCTCACGGGATGGGTCTGGGAAAGTTTTATCTGGGTTTGGCTGAAATGTTGGGAAAATAAGTTGAATGTTTTATAATGGCGTGTTTGGATTTGCTTAGTTGGCAATGAGTTGGCAAGTGTTAACTGATTTGGAATGATTTAACCGGCCAAGTCGTATTTCCGTTAGCCAAGTAGATCGTCTGTTAACGGTTTCAAACGGGATGGGTGATGGAGTTGGACGGGGTGAAGTTCAGTGGCCACCGAGACAATTAGTAAAGTTTGGTGAGTAAGTCGTGACATAATGTAAAGTTCGGTGGCTAATGAAACATTTAACTCTTCAATGCCCGAAAACCTAAGATAAACAAAACCAAACAAAAATTTGTTGCGTTTAGATGCTGCATCTGCATCTACCACCGCAATTGCAACAATTCCTCATCACCCCAATTTAGGGCAGAACAAAAAATTTTCTTTCAGGATCCTACTTTATATAGATTTGTATAATTACGTACAAGTATACGTAGGTATGTATAAATAAAGTCTTCAGGTTCTTTCTGCTTCATCGTGTCCTCGGTATCCCTCTCCGATCACATCAAGGTGAGCTTATTAGTTCTTGCTGGATGAATTGATATGATATACTGTGATATAATTGAATTATTGGCATGGGTTTTTTTAGGGTGATCTGAGTTTTGACTTCGAGATCATGTTGAATTTCTTGAAATTTTTATGGAGATTGATTAATTCGTGAGTTTGAGGGTGTGTATACGGTAACACCGTTCTGTAATTTTGTGGCGTTGGTGCTATGCCCCTTAATTTTCTGAAAAATTGAAGAAGTTAACTTTGTTTTATTTCCTTTCCTGTGCTTTATGGGTAGAAACTGAAGTGAGGTTCATTAGGATGCATTTGTTCAATATGGCATCTGAAATTCATATACATATATGCTGATGTGTACATAAATACTTGGGAAAAATGCAGTAGAAACATAAACTGTTGAAGAGCTTTATGCTATGGAGCATCTGGTTGATTCTTATAGCGTGTCAATGATTTGTAATTTGCCCCTGTTTGATGGTCATTACTTCCAAAAAATGATGTTTGAATAGTGATTTTTTTGGAGAATGTGTGATTAAAAGTAGGAAAGGTTTTGGGTTTGCGTTCAAAATATTTTATTATATGAATGCTTGGTTGAAAATGAGTATGAGAATTAAAGAGTTTTGTTCTCAAGGGAGACAAACAGGGGCATCTGATTCCTTTTTTCTGTTTTCATTTCACAAAGCCAGTTCTTAACACAATGCAGTAACATTATACCAAAAATTGAAATGAGGATACAGAGAGTTATCTTCATTGGCATGTGAAATACTACACAAATACAGCTATGCTTGTTGATGCACATCTGCCTCTTAGAAACATGCAATAGAAAGAGAAACTGCCAACAATCTTTATGCAAGGAACTTTCTGATTGATTTTTGTAGTGTGACAAAGATTTGCATGTGCTGATTCTGTTTTCCCTCTTTTATAATGCCAGGTATCAAGGGTTCCACAAAGGCGCAAAAGCATAAGAATTGCAATGAGGATGCAGAGAGTACCATCATTAGTTGACTTATGTGTTCTGGTGGCCATAGATAATGTTAGGTATCTAGGAGACGTTGGAGAAACAGACTTACATCTTTTAGAGCGAATTTTACCTCACTGTACACTTGATCAATTGATGCACATCGAGAATTGTACTGAAGTAAGATGTATTATATTTGTCTTTCCATTTTGAAATATATCTTGGTTTTTAATTGAATATTATGTGTAATAATGAATATCTTTCTGTGTTACTGCAGGGTACAGATCTTAGCCCGGTAACAGATAAACTATGGAAGAGATTTTACGAGCGCCAATTTGGTGCTCATAACACCAATGTTGTGATTGAGAGGATGAGAAAGAATAAAGTAACCTTTAAATGGAAACAATTATACGAGGTGATTTTCCTATTTCCTCATTTTTCTATCTATATCAGTGACGTTCCCCCATTTGGTGTTATATCTTAAATGAATGTTGCTAAACTGCAGGCAAAGTCAAAAGACATGGAAGAGGCACAACAAAAATCAATTGACCGATTAAGGCAGCTATATCAAAAAGAAGATGCTAGTAAGTACATATTTGTTATGGACATTGACTGACAAGTTGCAGGTGTCTTCATTTGACTGCAAGATTCTTTAATGTAACTTGGCGATTATCGTTCTGTGTAAAGGGTGTGATTTTCTGGTGTTGTATTGGAAGAGTGATGTGTTTTTTCTTTGCCTAAAGTAATACTGAAATGTCCTGCTGGAGTGCGTTAAGGCATGCACAAGTGTTTCCTCTTTAAAATCCCTTTTCACGGGGAATTTTGAGAGTGAATTTTGATTTAGTGTAGTCTTGTAGAGGTTGGATTATACTTTTATCGGTTAGTCACCAATATTAAAACAGAGTAGAACTTTCTACTACTTCTGACAAGATTAACAATGTACCGCCTATTGCATACGGTAATGACCAGAAATCGCTTAAGGCTGACTTAGCTGAAACCGCAAGGGGTGGATTGTCGTATCTGAGAGATGCACAGTCTCATATATGGGATGTTTTAGCTGATTATTATGTATCTTAAAACTAAAATTACTTAATCACAACTCATCTCAACAAAGTCCATGTTATCAAGGTCTGCTGTATGTATCCTTTCCTTTCCTTTACGAGGTCTGGGATTTTCTTTTACCTCATTACCTATTATTTTCCTGCTTCCTGTTCCATAGGCACACAGATTGTTAATGTTAAATATATTGCTTTGCCCCTTTAATGTATATAGGGTCTTCTTTAACTGTTTGCAAGCCATTATTATTATTATTTCCTTTTCGAAAATTGCCTTTCTATCAATGATTCCTTTGCATTCCCATGAATATGATCATTATCCTCTTTTTCATTTCTTTGTTACATTCTACCTCTTTAATCTTGTCTGAGCCATGCTTATCTTAATTCTCTAAGAAGAGGACATAGCATTCATAAAGGTCCTGCCATTTGGGACTCTTGAAAGGTAGATGTACGCAGCCTTTTAACCCTCTGCAAGCAAGAAGGCCGTTTCTGAAACTTGAATATCTTGAGGTCAGATGGACCATACAGTTTTGTGAAGGCCCACTCTCTTACTTCATTTTCATGATGTTTCTTAATGTGCTGAACATTTGATAGGTAGAATTACTTGGGCTTATTGCCATTTTTGAATTTTATGGGTATACATTGCATTCTAGTCAGGTGCATTCCTCCAGTCCAATTGACCACCTACAGTATGTGTGACATCATCTCCAGTAAAATCCAAGTTTTTTAGCTCTGTCATTCTTTGTAGCTGAATTTCACGTCTTCAGTCTTCCTACTATTTCTTTAATTCATTGTTTATTTCTAGTTTAGTCTTGTTTATTGAGAAAATATAGCATTCAGATATATATGTGGTGAAACCGCGTCCTTAGTAACAGTGTTTCAAAAGGCTTAATTGGGTACCTATGTGGCAAGTCATAAGCTTCGAGGCTTAAGACTCCAGGCCAACTAAAAAGTAATCCAAACGAATATAAAATACAAAAATATGCTCATAATAAACCATAAATAGCCTTAAAAATAAAAAATGAAACTAATTCAAAAATTTATCTCTAAAATTGATCAAGAAAATAGAAAATAATAAGTTCTCAAATTGGTAATCATGTCGAAAATTATAATTTATTAATACATCACTACTAAATGTTCTTTAGGGGAATCACAATGTCCTCCTCGTCACTATAAGTTTCTTCTCAGTCTTTATCATTATCTTCCATTTGCTAAAGCCAATAATTAAATGCCCGGAAAATACAGGATAAACTGGCAAACACCTTAGTCTCCTTGAGGCGTAAGCCTCACAGTGGCACTAAAGATTCGAGATTAAAGGAGTTTTATGAAAGCTTCATGTGGGGCAGGATTGAAGGCGGGTACCTCAAATAGTTTGTGTAAACAATGCTTAGTGAAATTTCCATACTTGTTGGAATATATAATGAGCATATTGCTTTATGGCATTACAAGATATGCATTTCCATTTGAATCTCCATATTTAATAGTTAAGCCAATATAATATTTCTTTTGCCAATATGATAAAATAAATGCTCGTAGGGCCAAACTTGGACGTACTGACTACTTTGCTTTGTAGGGAAACAAAGCCGACAAGTTCAGGTGTGCACAAAGGTTCCACCTTCAAGCAGGAAAAGAACCTTCTATGGAGGTAATTATTTCATTGGAGGTTATATTAACAATCCAATTACCTAGGTTTCACAATGCATGAAATATTCCAGTGTGAAGATGTTAATCTGATTATCTCGCAATGTAACTTAAAACATATGTAGGTGTAAATGCTAGCAACATTTGCAACACAAAAAGTGGCCTGATGAAGAAGGCAAAGCTAGAATTCCTCAACAGGTACCTCAAATCTATAATATGGAGTATCTACTTATTTCTGAAACTCTACGTTTCATGTCATAATGTTTTGCATGCTTACAAACTTATGGTTGATTTGCTTCCTTGATTATTCGAGTCATAGATTTCCTAGATTATTCAAGTCAGTTCTTTTTCTTCAAGTCGTAAATTTCCTAGATTATCTTTGATTCTCAAGGTATCATCATAACTTCAAATCTATCGACTTCTGTGTCTACATCTTAGTTGTACAGTTCATCTTTCATGAAATTTTGGGCATGAATAGACTGGGGGAGAGGGAAGGAGCATGAATCAATCTTTCGAACTGGCAAGTCAAATCAAAATTCATTTGGATCTGCAACATGACTTGATCAGATTCGTATATTCTATACTTGTTGACTGTGCATCACATAAAATCTGATCTGAAGATTCAGTCACCACTCTGCACTCTCTCCCACCGACTCATGCATCCCACAGCATACTTGTGCAGTGTGATTTTAGTCTTAATGAAATGATTGAAGCATTTTTAATCTGCACTCTCCTGGTAATTTTTTGGCATGAAAAAAAAAATCGATCCAAGTCCAGCCATGTAATTTTCTACTCTTTTCTGCAGCCGAGAGGTCAAAAATTTAGCAGCTATGAAGAGTAAAGTAGTGCACAAGAATCATAGGTACTAATTTCAGTAAGCATATGCGAGAATACTAGTCTCTATATATCATTACTAGTCCTCATCATGCCATCTCTTGCTTGTTCCCAGTGTTGCTCCCATGAAGAAACCAGTTGTCAGTTCCAAATATGCAGCTTCTTCATCATCCAAACTCACTAAGCCACTGTAACGAGACTCGACATGCCTCAATGAATCTTCGGATTATTTTTTTCGAGAAAGCAATGATGTAATACTAAGTTCATATAATGCATCAAAAACCAATTTGTATTTCAATACTATTGTTCCTCTTTATATATACCAGAGTCTCAACTTTCTTTGAGCAGTCTCAGAATTAATTCCTTATAAAATCATGGTGTGATCACCTGGGGAAAAAAAATCGCATGTTTGGTTATATCATAATTTTATTTGTCCTCATTAAAAATGTTTGAATTTATTTCTACACTGGCAAAATATTTTTGTGTATAATAGTTAAGAGGTGGACGTTAACCGAATTCAGGAATACTCCTTTCCAAGAGACCCCATCAAAACATAAATAAGTTTTTCCAAGATTCGACATTGATTGAATTGTTGGAAATTTTCAGATCAACAAAGCTTCTCATTTCCTTTTTTGTTTTTAATTTTTTGTTTTTATAATTAAGCCAATTTTTGGGCTCCATCATAATGAGGTTTTGAAAGAAAAAAAAAAATTGGAATAGTGCTTTTTGAGAGAATGTGTGGTTAAAAAAGAACGAAAAGTTTTGAACCTATGTGTAATGTTATTTTATAGGAGAATATGTGTTTTAAAATGAGTTTCGAAAAAATGGAACACGGACAAGGGCTAAATGTTTGTACTCGATGGAACAATTAACGTGTCGTTCTTTCTTGATCTCATGGACATAGTTCAATAGTATGGAGTCGTGCAGAATTTGAAGACTTTATTTTATTGCAGTTTAGTCAAACCGGTTTCGAAAAGGAGTTCTACTCCCTAACATCAAATGTAGCTTTCATGTGACAAGTCAACTGACACATTAATATGAAATCAGCATGAGCAGAAGACCTGTCGGTAAGATTTTATAGCCGACAATAAACTCGAAAGTTGCAAATGAAGTTGAAAAGCCTCGTGTGGCCAGGAAGTTCGTTTACCATAGTGAAATAAGGAATCCACATGCTCATTTTTATTGCAGCTCAGGTAATCAAGTAAATATTGTTTAAATACAATTATTACATGTTTTGCTCTATGCAGAGCTTACAACACTATCAGTCTCAAGTAGGTAAGTTGCCTGATAAAAGCGTATTTCCCTAACCGACAGAGAAAAAACATCCTTAGCCCGGTAATAATATTACCGTGTTTTCGACATGTGGAATTCGACAATCTGATGTAGACAATACAAGACCTAGGCCTCGGATCCTGCTAGTCGCCTCCTGGTAGCATTAGAAACGGACACTTGCCCGAGTTTATCTGCTTCAGTTGACACCATCCGTTCGTTCAGTGGCGTATAATGCCGCATCCATGCACCAGTGTACACCTGGAATGTAAAACAAGGATTAAGCCCCTGTTTGTCTCCCATTATGGGAGAAAGAATAGAGTTTTGAATAGTATTTTTTGAGAAATGTGTGGTTAAAATTTAAAGAAATTTTATAATAAATTAAGGGTGTGTTTGTCTCCAATTATTGGGAGAAAAATAGAGTAATGAATAGTATTTTTTGAAGAATGTGTGGTTGAAATTTAAAGTAACTTTATTGGTTTGTGTGTAGAATATTTTATTGAATGAATGTGTGGTAGAGAAATGATACTGGCAAACAATTTAATTTTTAAAGGATGACAAACACACCCTAAGATGCATCAGAATACTGTAGATACATTTCTTTTACTGATGCAATTAAAAAATCATGCGTAAAAGTTCGACAACTAAGGCTAGCTTAAGTCCATTTTCCACTTCCAGTTTCTTTATATATTTCAAAATATCAAGGGCAAAAGTCAAGTGGAAAAGAACTAAACAGGAATGAACAGAAGATAACAAAATAACCTGTGCTGGTCGCATGATTTTTGTATCGGGATCATCCAGAGACTCTCGCCAGTGAGATAAATAGCCAGCCATTCGAGGAATTGCAAACAAAACAGGGAAGAACTCCGTGGGAAAACCAATTGCCCTGAATTAAAGTGTCACAAGAATTTCTTCATAACCCTCAAACTTCATGGTAAAATATTTTACCTGCCCTTTAGAAAAAAACAGAGAGAGAGAGAGCAAATACAATTGTCATTTCTCTACCTATAAATTAACCCGGAGTAGAAATCAACATTGGGATACAACTTCCTCTTCACAAAATACTCGTCTGATAAGGCAGCTTTCTCCAAAGCTATGGCCACCTGCAAATGACATGAGATTGATTCAGCCTATGTAGAAACATTTGAATAGGTAGCCTTTATTTTTTTGGAATATAAAAAAAGGATCTGTTAGCATCATAGAATTTAAGTTCTTGTATAATATAAATGAAACCATTGTCCATCATCAGGTGTGAAATCGTAGTCCTCATATAAATCGGATCATGCACACTCAAATGTAGATGTCTGTGTATAGAACACATACAACTAGTTGAGATTTTAGAGTAGAGCCAGAAATACTAAGCAGCAGCAACGAAAACAAGAAGCTGAGCATGAAAAATGGTTCCAAAAACCAAAGAACCATCTTTACCCTGCCAACAGAATTGTGGCCACGAGACTTGAATTTATGATCAACATTGCTCAAATTGTAATATCAGTCGTTAACGCTGATTGTGAGACCAAAGGCAAGGAGTCAACTGTCCTCAAAATCCCAATTTAAAATCTAAATCGTTGGCAGTCCATCAAGAAGGTACTAGGAGCAAGGGGCGGCAGGCTTTTGTTTTCAAGGGTGCCTACTTGTAACATTGTTCGTTTTTATTAAACTCAAAATTTGCAAACATGTCAAACAGTAAGATGTTTTTTTAAGCAATCTTTTCCTCTGACAATTATATAATAACCTGATTTTAAACTCTTTTTAACGCCACAGGGGAACTTTGGTGGTTCCTGCAGCATTGATGTTCATTTGCTCATTTGATTTCTGTAGTGATTTCATGGGCAGATTCTGTACTGCATATATTTTAACACATGACTTGGTTACGGGATTAATCAGTTTGTCAATGAAATCCGAAGGCTTCGTATCACCCATACTTCTAAATTAACTCCAACAAAAACAAACCTACCTCTATCAGAGGATCTCGGCCAACAATGGAAAATACTTCTTCTGCAAGTTTCTTAATGACCTTTGCTCTGGGATCATAATTTTTGTAGACACGGTGCCCAAAACCAGACATCTTACGCTTCCTTGAGACAATGGAATTATACAACACATGCATGAGTTAGACCATGAGTAGAAGCATTTTTGTAAAGGGCAAAAAAAAGCCCACACAGTAGCTGCAACAGAAGGATACCAACCTGTTCTTCACACCCTCAATGAACTCCGGTATCTTTTCAATACTTCCAATCTCACTCAACATCTTAAGCACAGCCTACAAAGCACACAAAGAAAAGCAACTTTAGATCAATGGGCTCATAACAATTCCAAGGTATACGAGCATATAGTGACTAGTTGAAACTTCTCAGTGCGTCTGATTGGTTGACACATGCTAAAATGCTGAATACCTCATTTGCTCCACCATGAAGAGGACCATATAGAGCTCCAACGGCTCCAGAAAGGGCTGTGTATACATCAACACCACTGCACAAGCAGATTCAGGAAAGTAAAAAATCATCAAAAAAAAAAAAAGTTATATTCAAGCAAAAAATAAGATGCTACCTTGAAGCTAGGTGTCGTGCAGCTGCAGTGGAACAGTTCATTTCATGTTCTGCATGTAATATGAAAAGAGTGTCGAGAACACGAGCAAGTCGAGGATTGGGTTTATAAGACCTATTGCCCCTGGGTATAGTAACCAAAACTCTTAGTCAAAATAGCGGCCCAAATTTCAAAGATGCTTCAGTGAACTAGATTCAAAATTGTCCCTCAACTTGAAAAGTAAGATAAACATGGAAAGCGATTCCAGGACAGCGAACCAGGAAATATTTCTGTTCATGAAGTTATTAGGGAAGATGAAAACAGGAAACAGATCTTACAAGGAATCAAGCATATATAAGAAGTTCTCTGAGTATGAAAGATTGCTAGATGGTAGAACAGGTGGCCTTCCTGCCATCCTCAAATAAGCTGCAGCAGCAATTGTTGGCGCCTGCAAATATTATTAACCCTCTTCTTAATAATGCTATGGTTGAGTTGATAATAAGTTGAAAAAGACATCCAGGAGATTCAGAAGCTAATATTCAATAGTTTGACTCATGTTTAAGGAAGGAAAGGAAATAACCTTTCCTAGTATGCGTACTACTTGTTTATCTCTCACTTGTTTAGATTTATAAATGTCTTGGCCCTGCAAGCACAGCAAACCAAACAATAAAGATAAATACAGCATGTACCCATTCTTTAGAAGGTGCCAACCACATGTCATAACAAGAAGTTAATTATCTATTCAAGTGAGACAGAAAGAATGGCAGTCAGCTTTCTGAAGGAGCACAATAAACTTTAAAGGTTGTACAGTAAATATTGATAAAAGAAAATTTTTCAAAATTGAAGCTACTTTTTAAAATACTGGATTAGTGTCAGAGCTTTTAGTGTAGCTAAAGGCCAGTAGCATCAACTACCCATCCTATGCCATGGTAGTTGGAACCACAAGGATTTGAAATGGGCAAAAGAGTTCATACTCTAAGAGTGGGATTGGCATGTTGAGTATGTGCAAATTCAAATTTGACTTCCTCAGCCAGTAAGACATAATGGAGCCAGTATCGAAACTAATATTCAAGTGATAAAAGGAATTGAAAGAAATTATTATTATTAAACAACTGGCTTACCCTTAAAGCTGGATTAGCATCAGGATGAAACACAGAAAGAGCACTCATTGCACTGACAAGAACACCCATTGGGTGAGCATCATGGGGCATTGCCTGTATGATATCCTGAAGAAAAGAATCAAAACGCAATCAGGAAATTTTGATGTTTACCTTGAGTTCCTGAAGGAAGCTGTATTGAGGCTTATTGATCCTAATAGGGTATTGCCATAATCTAAGAAGGAAAAATTAAGAACTTTGCTTTCATGAAACCAAAGGGTGATGTTTTTCTCATCCTTAGCCTCATTGAAACACTTAAGGAATATGAATCACCATCTCTATTAGGCATTTAAAATTTTTGGCTCCATTTGTTTTGTGGGGAACATTTTCCATTTGATGTGCCAATAAAATTGGTATACGAACAATATTTTCCTGGTCAAAAAAACTGTTCATTCGGAGGAAAATGCTATAAGATTTTGGAGATGGGAAAATAATTTCCATAATCACACCACCGAACCAACACCGTTTCCAAAATAACCACCATAGGGGGAGCCACCCACGACATTCAGTGAATACATGGCTGTTGCAAGCAACTACCATGCAATCGCTGGTGACAACCTTCCGGTATTCAATAACTTTGCAGTCATCAAAAACCACCGTCTGGTGTTGACAACAACGAGGCTGTCATCAGAGACAGCAGGCGGATTCCAAATAATCACGGGGCTACCGGCATTCACCTGCTCGTCAATGGCAAGTGGCATCTTTAAGAATGTCACACACGCCGGAAGAAAGTTTTCCTTGAAAATAGGGAGCCTCACACTTCTTCTTTCTCTACCTCTTTATTCTTTAATATCTTCATATTGTTTACAAATAGTAGCAGCTGCTCAGAGGAGGGGAGGGTGTTCATTTTGTGCTTTAAATTTAATTGAGAATATTAATGCGACATATAAACCTCTATCAAATGGTACCTTTTTATCCGGAACATGAAAATCACCTACATATATTTCAGGAACCCATAATAAACACTGAAGGACTTAGTGTAAGTAAAGTTTTAAGTATTGACAAGATATTATCATTCAAAATCTGGTAAAATAGCACAGATTGATGTAATATTGAGAGTATCAAAGATGAATACAATGTTATTCACACTCTCTACAATACATCTACAAGTATAGGTAACGAAATGTGAGGTTTCAGAAAAGATTTATTGAGAACAAATATGTCATCCAAATCAAAGTGAACACAATTTAAACTAGCAATGCAGGTCCCATCGGACTCAAGTTAATGTGTCACTTAAGCAATTATTTCAAATCTGAAGAGAAGTCAAGTCCTGCCAGTCTTCAGGACACTGTCGCATAATTAGTAATCTTAGCAAAAAATCCGAGTAACATTACCTTTTTTTTTCTATCATACTAACATAAATGTTCTTTGTGAGTTTCGTATTATATATCTAAGTCAAGAAAGTAAGATTTTCAGAAAATTCTTGTTAAAACAAAGAAACTTGGCTCGAGACTCAAATTCCAGCTAAACAGAGAACTCAAAAACTTATGAAGAGCATATAAAACAAGCATACCAATATTCCTTGTGGTACAGCTGAATGCTGTGAAACAGCAAACTCCCAGTCTGCCAACTGATTTTCGGATGGTAAGTTCCCATACACTGCCATCAAAAGGGGCAAATACTTCAACATTATAAAGCAGAAAACCAGAAATTAATCCAATCACTAAACTCAATTGATGTATATGCCAATCATATGAAGCAAGCAAAAGCTGAGTGCCAATCAAGTACTAACTTCTCATATATTCATCAACATCTGTATTTTAAACATACATAACTATGACACGCAAATACTTTTCCAATGCCAATGAAGTGAAACTAGAAATAACAATATGGATCCATTAATTTCACAAAATATCAGGATTAAGCTTGGCAGAGATGCCTCGAGAGAGAATCAAACGAAGCTCGAAAGAGGCAAATAGAAATGGAAGCAGTCAATCACCCATGTGAATAGATTTCAAATGGTGCACCAAAATATAGATTGGACAGGACAAGAACCGAAACTGGTGCCAATACACCAGCGTAGATTTAGTTACTCAAGATGCAAGAACGATTGAAATATATTAGTAACACTTACACAAAAGATAAGCCACTTCCAGGAAGGAACTTCCCTCAGCCAGCTGCTCAATTGGGTAACCCCTGTATCTAAGAACTCCTTCATCACCATCAATGTAACAAATTGACGATCTCACAGGAGCCGTATTAAGATACCCTGGATCATAAAGCTTGAGCCCCTTGTCATTCTTACCTGTTGTTATCTACAATCCTCTCTTACATCAGAATCTTCAAACATAACATGCAGATTCACCAATAAAAGCTACTTTTATGAACCGTTTATTCATTACAAGATTCTACTCGACTCCAATATTTTTTAATTACTTTTCCAAGAGCAATATAGAACGGTAGGATATGAAAACACCCTCATGCAAAAACACCTCATCAGAGCTTCACTGCATAAAGATTGTCGTTTCCAAAACCCCTTAGTTTAACGAGAAAACCATAAAGAATTAAATCAGACCCAGAATTCATATAAATTTATCGATGAACTCGATAAAACAGCCGAAGAACTAAAACAAGACGAAATTCGAATCTATAAACAAAGGAAAAATTACAGCAAAAGTAAGAATAAAACCAGTTGAAATACGAACAACATCACTAATAAAAATAATGATAAAGATTTAATTTTCAACTATCAATTACCTTTTTCAAGTCGGTAGCTTTGATGGTGCCTTCTTCGGAGACTTGGACCTGGTACCTTTTACCGGTACGCTCGTCGATTATAGTCAACGAACCTTTCAGATTCGGTGGCGGCACCACAGCAGCGGAGCAGCTCGAAGCTTCGACAAACCCCGCAGAAACGGGATCGTTTAGATTAACCGAAGCCAAAAGGTGAGAAGAGAGAACGGCTAAGCGTCCCCAAGCCAATTTTGGATCAAAATTTTCCATTTTTCAGTCTTGTGTTAAATCAATTTCCTTTTTGCTGATCGTATGATCTTGGATGCAGAAAGTAAGCGTTCAGTTCTATACATGCGTGTACAATGTGCTTATATAGTAGTTGATTGGGATGCACAATAATAATGATAGACTTGATCCGGATGACGTTAGCTGAATTCGGATAATCCCACATTCCAAAAAACACAGATATAATTATTATATAATTCGTATTTTTAAATATAAAAAAAAAAAAAGGAAAAGGGGTTTTCCATAGTATCCATTTGGATATTTGTCGAGTTGGACATAACAAGACACATTATGTGGGTCGGGTTATAAATTAGGACCAGCCTTTTTCTGAAAATGGGTCGAATCAAATTTAAGGGGCTTGATAAGGGATTGGACCAAGGTACCATTGGGCTGAATCCAAACAGAACCCATAAGTTACGGGAGCTGATTTGATAAGTTAAGAAAGTCCAAGGATCGATTTATGCCATCCAGTAAACCTAGGAGAACAAATTTGCGTAACAGCTTGTCAGCCTTGTCTGAAGAGCCATCGTGTAGAACAACTTCATCGTGCTTTGTTCATCCCAAGTCCAAGAGTGTTACAAGTAAAGGTGGCAATAGGGCCAACACGAGATAAATTATAGGGACAGGTATGAATGGCAATGGGACGAGTTTGAAAATATTCACATTTATCGTGCCATTTAGCTATTTATTTAATTTTCTTAAATTTAAGTACCATGTAAATTCTAAAACATAAAAATCAGATAGAAATCGGGATCATGTTCCTCTTTCCTAGCCCAATTCCAAACGGGGCAAGGCCGAACAAGGCAGTAGTGGGATATTTTGCCATTTATCCAAGTCGGGTTTGAAAGTCTAGACAAATCACTACATTTGAACACCTCTAATCACATGAACTTGTAAATACAATTACGTGATTTAATCAGATGACACAAATCAAGACGAACCCCACTATATATTCCCACCAACGGTCATACGTCCCGCGACAATCTCGTGTTTCCTTGAACCTAAAACAGCACAAGAGAAACCAACAAGGCAATAAAGCAATGTCATAGTACTAAACACAAGTACAGTCTCTCTCCAACCCCATCCCACGTGAGGTTCTGTCTTGCTTTCTTATTTATGTCGCTATTTTGAAACTGTTTGTGCTTTCCTTTCCCTCTGAGGTGCATTTTCCAGGGGTACTTTTGTCTTCACAAAACCTTGTTTGGCTACAAAATGTGGACAGAACTGTAGTTGAGGGATTGACCACTCAGTGAATTTACAACAAGAAAATAGTAAATGATAGTTAATGACTAGTGATTGAGTGAATATTACACTCAACTCTCTGATTGGAAAAAGAATAAGAATTTAGCCTTTGTTTTCTAGTTGTTGTTCCCGGGGTTTCGACATATTGAATTGAATTGAACTAAACTGAATTTCGCATTCTTAAAAGTTACTTAGCTCTTGTTTGCCCCTCATTATATCTCATTACATTACATTAAGTTTTTCTCTCTCTTCCTCTCAACCATACATTCATCAAATAAAATAATAATACACACAAATCTAAAATTTTTCAACCACACATCTCTCATCAATCAGTCTCACCGTAGATTCACAGATTGAGTGCTTGTTAGAGAGAGCTAAAAAGATAATTTTGATAGTGAGCCCAATTCAACGTGTGGTTAAAATTAATTATTGATTTTGACCTCAAATTTTTAGCAACTTTTTACGGTTTCCCAAAAAAGCACTGAATTTAATGTGGAAAATAATGAACTATTTTTAAAATAAGTAACTTACTTGTAACTATAACCATTGTGAAAGTTGTATATATTAAAATGTGAAAAGCACTACATTATTTTCTTTTCATTTTTTGAATTATTAATACCTTGTATTATATATTTATTTATTTATTTTGCTAGAACAAGATAATAATTTGTCTAACATTATAAATTGATATATCATTTTTCACAATTCTTCTAAATTCTCATCTTTAGGCAGTGCCAAACTGTACAATTGTCCTCTTCAAAAAAAATAAAAAAATGTTAAGATTCTCCAAAAATGATGAGCAGAAAATTTAGCTACATGGAATATTACGACATGTTTGGTGAGGGTAGAATTTACCCAATATCCTAAATAATTTGATCATCCTCTGTTTCAAATTTTAGAAACAAGTTCAACCCGTATTTCTTGAAGTGTCGAGGAGTTGAAATCTTGGAATCAAAAAGAAAAAAAAAATGAATTTAATTCATTATACAGTCCAATCATGATTAATACTGCAAAGTGAACACGTCATCAAGATAATGATATGTCATTAATCAATAATCATGTTTTTCCCCTTACAATCACCATTGTTAAGAATGATAACAGGAAAAGTTTTCAGGTATGTGGGAAAATGACTTATCACTTATAATCTAGAAAAAAAGTTTTTTAGTGGGTGAAGAGAAAATGTTTGACAAGGCTGCAAGAGAGGGTGTAGTTTTAGTACCATAAGACAGCACATGTAAGAAAAGTAAAAGTAAATTTGAATGTAAAATAAGAGGTGGGATCCAGCTCCAGGCTCCCGAGTGTCCTTGTGCTCAGTCTCTCTGAATGTCTTGTTTTATCATAGACAACACAACACATACTTGCAAATTCTAACAAATTCCAATTTTTTTTCTTTTTATTGTTTTTACTTTGTCGTACAAGATCCAATGTTTTAAAATGAACATCGGCATTGCAGAATGTCGATTTTTTTTACCTTTCATTCTCTTTATATTTTCCTTTTTAATCAAGACTATGTCTCTGATTCAAAAGTGATCCATGCGGATCAGAAAGTGAACTGAAAATTCCCATATCACAGATTCACAGTAAACATTACAGAGCAGTGGATCACGTGGATGTGAGTTTAAGACATTCTCACAGAAAGCAAATCCATTTTTTCTTAGTTACATCTCTTTTCATGTATGCAAAAACAAAACATTTGGCCAATTTTTAATGAGGAAATTCTCAGAATAATCTAAAATTACTGATTTGTTTAAATATTTAATCATATATTAACAATGATGGAGTGACTATATAGAAAGTTAATGAAAGAAACAAATCTATAGAGTTCTATTTACTTATTACTGTATGTAGACAAAGACATTGAAAATATTTGCACCTCAAGTTGGGAGATTAGAGTGCCCAACTCTTCCAACCCGTCGAGTTGACGTACCACTTTGACTGCAAAACTACTCGTGTTAACAAGATTAACAACCTTTAAATCAGGTTTAACATAATGTATGAAATTTTTTCAAGAATTCCACTGAATAATGTATGCAGTTAAATCCAAGTTCAAAGCTTGTGCATAGCTTAATCTCGTCTCTCTAAAAGTTACTTCCACAGATAATTGTCCCTTCCATAAATTACAATGCCAAAACTAGGGACCCCTCTTGGGATCAGAGAAGAGTCAAGAAAAAAAAATAAAAAAATGCTCAATTGTACTGATGACTAGAGACTGCTTTACTTTTTAACTGCATAGTGAAATCCTTTCATCTGGCATTTCAGAACTTGCTCTATCAGAATCTTTGCCTCATCTTGATCAACAAAAAAAAAAGGTTGCGTACTTTAAGTAACATTAATGCATATATCTTTAATTTAAACCGGGGTACTAAATTTGCAACTCAATTAGATATTTTTCACTTAAAAAATCACAATATAAACGTAAGTCTAATTTTAAGAAAGCATCAAACCACTAAACAGAAAACAATATATGATGCAATGCTAGAAAAACCCAAAAAGTAGTAAGAGTAAATGGTTTAGGGCATTGAAATGGAGCTTCAGATTTCTTCGATGGCCTGATAGAAGATGCACTTTTGTTACTTCCACAAACATCAATTCCAAGATTGACACCAAATGCTTCTGATGGACTCAAACACAGCCCTGGATTACTACTAAGATCCAAATTCCTGCCAAGCCTTTTCAGGAAACTTGAATTGAATGGCACAACACCACCCAGAAAGTTTCTGCTCAAGTTCAGATGATATATGTGAGACAGATTGCCAAATCCGGTAGGAATTATGCCCATTAGTCGGTTGTTTTGCAACGACAGGGCGCTTAGATTCGTCAGCTGTGAGTAAATTGGAGGGATTGTGCCGGAGTATCCAGAATTGGCAAGCCTGAGTTCTTGCAATTTTCTGAGACGGCCAAATTCCGGGGGCAATGGTATGAACATTGGATTGTCATCCATTATGAGGTACTGCAGATTTTGCAGCTCCGTGAGGCCCCTTGGAAACCTTCCGCGTAATTTGTTGTTGCTTAATGCCAAGAAAATTAAAGAATTCAGCTGCTGAATACTGTCTGGAATGCTTCCAGTGAGAGAATTAGAGCTAAAGTCGAGCTTTTGAAGCACCAAAAGCTGGCCAATTGCGGCAGGTATTGGCCCTGTCAGCCTGTTATAGCTCAAATCCAAGCCTAAAAGGCTCCTGAGGTTTCCAATTTGAAATGGGATCACGCCTGTCAGCGTGTTATAACTCAAATCAAGGTGTAAAAGAGAACTCAAGCTGAAAATATCAACTGGGATTCTGCCTGTTAGCCTGTTTTGTGACAATGTGAGGATTTGAAGAGATTTAAGAGAAGAAAACTGACGTGGGATTGAGCCAATAAGTGCCGAATTTGCTCTCAAACTAAGCTGCTGTAAAGAACTGGAAATCTTGTCTATCGGAAAAGAAATTGCTGTCTGCGTATGACTGAAACACTGGAAAATGAAAATGGATTCCAGATTTGGGAGTTCAAAAATTTCTGGAGGGAATGTTGCAGCGTTCTTGCAAGTTGGATTTGGTGGGGTACCAAAATCAAGCCTGGTAACATGAAAATGGTTATCAATTCCTGCTTTGCACTCAATTCCTAGCCAAGAAGAGCCTGGACTACATGGGTTTGGGTGTGAAATTCTCCAGTTTTGATCAGATGACATAGACTCCATAATCTTGAACAAAGTTTCTAGTTCGAGTGGATCCATGTTACTACGAAACAGATTCTTGTCGGGATGGTTTTTACTTGCATTTTGGTTTGTGGAGACAGAAGAGATTAAAAGAAAAGAAATGAGCAGTGGAAGAGCGAAGAATGAGAATGAACAGCACATTTTGTGTTCAGGTCTGTGAACAAGGAGGAGTGGCTTGTGTAGCTTTAGAATTGGTTCCACGCCTATGTACGTGTGTTGGTGAGAGAGAAATGAGTTGTGCAAAGGTGTGATTGATATGATGGGTGCGGTCATGATTTTGAGTGAGAAATTGAAGCCAAGGTAGGGTCAAAAATATACAAAATTCAGGGGAGGGGGTTCTAATAGGGCCCAGGTGGGTGGAGGCACGTTTCTCTTTATCAGACTTGATGGCAATGACTACATGAAAACAACTGTGGTAGTAATTGGTTCTTCAAGATTTCATCAGTTACGAAATTAGAATTTTGCTCCTTTGCCAGAAAAGGGTTGCCCCCTTGGGTGACCGACCCTCACAAAGAGGGTGGGACCGACGTGGGGTCCGGGCAAATAAAAAATGAAAAAAAAAGTCCCCCTCCCCCCCATGTGAGTAATCTGTCAGGGGGGGTGTCACTCCCCCCTGGCAATGTAGCATTGCTCACGAAATTATGACTTCTGGGTTCAAAATTCATGTCCAACCTCGATTGCACGCAAGTAGAAATTATGACTTCTGGGTTCAAAATTGTTTTTGTGAGAAATTATTATGTAAAATTATGACTTCAAAAAAGTAAGATTAAACAGTGAAATAGCATAATGCATTTCCGGTCATGTTGACCAGATAAGAATCTCATTAGCACTTCTTTACTCAACCCAGCAACTTATTTTTAAGTCAGCATTTAATTGACATATAACCGCTTGTTTTCTTCAGATAACCGAACAACTTACAAAGTACCACATTTGTCTTCAGCAATCTCAAAAGTTCTCCAAGATTGGAGAAATGGGAAGTAAACGGATTAATTATTTAACATTTGAAGGATTCACAACAAATGAATATCACAACATTGTCGTACAGCAAAATAAATATGAATACAAATTAAGTGGCTGTTCATCACTTCATTTTACACAACGTTGTTCCTCAAGTCAATTTTACAGCATAATCTAAATTTTCAAGTTCACACATCATAAATTCACAAGAGTTCCAAAATTCAGTGTTAATTTGATTACTGTGCCATAGATCAAGTCTTCTTCAGCCTTTCGCGACCAAAGCACGAGTAATAAGAACAGTGGCCTATGCATTATGAGAACATTCGAAGGAAGTTATTGGCGTATGCCATTGGCTTGACATCAGGGTGTGGCTGTAGTTCATCAATATACACGGTGTCAAAATGATAGATCAGAAATATAAATTATTATTCAAATAGCACATATCCTAATCCAGACAACCAGAAAAATAGGGAAAAAAAAGGTCAAAANACAATCACGACTTTATGTTTCACAATTAACTAAAAATTATCAAAATCCCGCCCAAAATAAAAATTCGGGAGGGGGGGGTACAGGAAAGGGACACATGCCAAAACTGGCACACTAACCACTGCTGTAAAAGTGACGATATTTGGCTTGAGATCAGGGGCCTCAAAACGAATAAATGCTCCCTTATTTCCCATCTGCATAGTGTGAAGAAAATTGAATGTTAACCATAAAGTTTCAGACTTCAACAATCTACCTCTCATTGGTTAAATTAATTACGTAGATATAAATCATTGAATATTGCTATAAACACTGTTTAGCATTAAGATTCACAAAGAAAGTGTACAAGATAAATGAACAGTGTTATTATAATTTATTTTGGCATTCAAAGATACTAGTTCATACAAACTTCGCAGGAGCATCGTGCAGAAGGTTTACTTTCCACAAGTATTACATATGCACGATTGCACTCAACATCTTAAGAGTTCTAATGCAATTTGACTTTATAACACAATTTAAGTATTGCTTTCACTTTTTCTCTTTCCGGAAAATTGAACGGGGAGAAGAAAATAGCACAAGTATTACTGCATCCTTTTAAAAAAATGTTCAAGGGAAAACTGCACTTAGTCAAGACAAAAAACTAATTATTGAAAAGCTTAATGAATTGAATATACTTTCAACTGTCAGCATTTCTGAGCACAGTTCTGTCCAACATTAAAAATAGCATACATTGACAGCGGCATCAAAAATATAAGAAAGCTATTACGCGTAAGATAAAAAATGAAAATCATACTACCTGATCACAGTAGTTCGGAGCAGAAAACACGGTAATAAGTTTACCGTCATGCTCAATCTCATAACCTTCATCTTTCACTTCATGTGACCGCACTACTAAATCTGTAAATAAGAACAAGTTGCCGAACCACTTATGTTTTGAATATGAAAACCTGAGACATTTTAAAACTGTAAAATACAAGACTGCTACTTATATAAAGAATGGAGAAAATTACCTAGCTTGTTATCCTGCAGAAATCTTTTAGTTACATCTGCACCAAATGAAAGACCAACACCACGTTTGCTGGGTCCCCTTCCAAGTTGAGGTTGTGGATCACTCCACAGCAATTCACACATCAACCCTGGTTGGCACCAAACAAGAATACATGAAGCCGACAAGAAATAAAAACAGAATTCATGCACACGGAACAATCTCCTCTACCGTAGTGATCCCAGTCATCCTCCTTTGCTTCTCCCCTAATTGGCTCAACAATCTAAAATTCCTACATCAATATCTCTCGCCCTACAAACTCTCCCCCTTGTAG